GAAGTCCACATGTCTTCAAGTTGCCAAGGTTGAGAAACCCTGGAATAAACAGTGGGTTGTAAAGGATTGGATTGGCTCTCACATAAAATCAGTGTGCAGTGCTGAAATTCTCTGCAGACAGAGAAAGGGAACCTAAGCATTGAGTTTTCCCAGGCAGATGTCCTTTGGTTCCTCAACCTTATTTTAGGATTTACATTAGTCAAGGCCACATGATATTCTTCCTTATCATTCATTCATCCCTTTCCCACTATACAATTTGTAGATGCACATACACACATATAGTTTTATTTGATGGACAACTCTTTTCTCATAAATTGTGCCATGTTGAGGTGTGCAAGAAGATCAAGGAGAGATTGACTAACTGAACTGAGAGGAACAAGAGAAGAATGAAGGGCTTGAGTGGGAATAGCTACATGGCACCCCTTTCAGGCAATCTGCAATAATTCAGGTGGTTGGGGTCGGGATGGAGCAAAATGTATAATATTCACTTCACTGGTTGCCCTACAGCACCTGCTGTATATAAACCCCAGTTACAAATGTTTTAATTAACTGTGGAGACCAGAGTGTTAGGCCCTTGCTGCTGTTTTTGTCTCTTTTAAACGACACAATCACTTCAAGTTCCCTTTTAGTAATTTCTGGGACAACGTGATACTTGTTTACAAAAACGATTCTGTTTCCAAAAACTAATTTTGGCAAGAATCTTGTTTTGTTTTTACAAAATTTCAACAGGCAGAACAAGCTACAAAATGCTTTGAGCCTACTTTTGGGGCCCTGATTTGTTACGGCGTCTTTTCAATTGTACACAAAGTAAAAACGTGATGAAGAACTTAGCGGCTAGTTGTCAAATGCAGACAAGAGCATTTGTGCCTTATAAAGGTTTTATGCAAGAAGGAGAAGAGAAGGGAAGAATTTAATAGGTAGGATTTCTCAGCAGCTGTTAGTGAAGGATCCTTGCTAAACTTCTATGTATAATGCAGAAGTGGGCAATGTTTGAGAGATTGCAAGGCACCTGATATTCTGTTGTGGCCTGACCAGAAGGGACATGGCCATATTTTTGAAGGGAGGGGAGAACTTGAAGGATGGGATTGGAAATGTGAAGCCTCTCAGAGGCAAATCATACCTGTTCACACCTTGAAAACCATTCCCAACCCTGAAAACTGCCGTTACTTGCTGCTGAGTTGCAATGCCTTGATCTCAGACAGATGGAGGAATGTAAATGGGGTGCCATGAACTACATATGGCCATTGGTGTCTGCAAGGAGGGGCAAGGGAGGTCAGAGTGATATAAGCAACTTTCCAGCACTGCAATGCAAGTCCAACCACTTTTCTATATGTTTTGTGACATGCACACACCTCCAAACGCTGAAACTTTCTAATGAAAGCAACAAGAGGCTGTGACATTATGCATGTGACTCATGGTCGGCAACCCTGGCTATCTCAAAAAGCCATGTTGAACTCAATTACTATGCATTTAGTAAACTAGCTTTTGGGGGGCTATTTAATCCATACCTGCATCTAAAAAAATATACTTAAGCCTTCATGAGAAGGCTGTCTCCCCCAGTAAAGTAAGTTAACTATTAAAAGCATAGCTCCCTGATCCTTTCTTCAGCCTTTGCATTTTATTCCAAGGTAAATCTCCTACAGGGCCAGATATAAGCAGGGTATTCCCAGCCAACATGCCAATACACAGAAAACTTGAACTTCCCAAAAAAGAGAAATAAGGGACTTTGCTATTCTTGTTGGGTTATAAAATTCCCAATTCAACATTTGCCATGCCATTGTGGTTTAAGAAATATAAAGAAAGAACTTCAACTTAATATGCAGTCAAAACACGGCCAGAAACTATCATTCGCAATACAACTGCTAACTGTTTTTAATCATTTACTTATTTCAACTGTTTTGAATATTTTCTGTTTTCGAAAATGTGTTTATAGTTTTTTTTTGTGTGTGTGTGATCCTTTGGCTGCCTGGAATTCTTTTAAAACCACACAAGAAACATTAATTTTTCAACTGAACCCAAACAGTGCTGATAGTCTCTAAAGCCACAGATGCCTTTTGTACCATCTCAGAAATTCATACACTTGAAAATGTTATGTATAATCCACGCAGCTGGTTCAAAGTCTGCTCTGAGAAGCACATCCATCAGCTACAAGCTGAGGAAACAGACTTGTCACCACTCTTAATTCCACTGGACTAGCTCTGTCAAGTTCCTAGTCATATGAAGTACCACTTAAGAAATAGCAGAGTTGCAGTGATTACTTAGCTGCTGCTCAAGTTCCCAATCATCTTTATTTTCTTTTAAAAAGTATATATTGCCTATGCAGGAAATAGCCCAGAGGTATAAGAGCAAGATAATCCTTTATGCAAAATTCAGGGAGCCTAGCTCTTGTTGTACCAGCATTGCTTGAAATGTTTTCACCTAAATCCAAATAAACTACATCTAAACCATTCTAGCTAATCCTCTTATTCTTCTAAGTATTCCAAGCAGTTATTATTCATGTTGCCCTCCCAGGGCCATGCTGGAGTAGAGAAGGAGAAGCCTTGTGCAATATGGCACCTTGGACCATTTTGTCCATCACAAATAATGGTATAATTGGTGGGCTCCATCACTTCCTCTGCACCGTGACAGTTGCCTTAGCAGCTTCTCAAGGCTGCTTCTACCTTCTTCCCTGCCATAGCACTCCAAATGTGGCTGATCCCAACCTTGGTTTAATGTTGGGTTTCAACTGATTGAAGATGCATACAGTACAAAGCTTTCTCATTGCTTTCATGGTTCCACATGCAACTGACCCTTTTATTTCTGCATGTAAACATAGCCCCTTAGGGAACTGGGGGATGGAAGCCAACCCTAAAAAAATTAATTCTTTTCAATGTTTGTCAAATCCTCTTTAACAGTCAGTTACACATACAGATTACAACCAGTTGCAAAATAATATTAAAAGAATAAGCCCATCTTAGCTTCCCAATAGAGCTAAGGCAAAGTCATCAGAGCATGTATACACAGATGGTCTTTCATAAATATGTTAAAACAACAATGCATATAATCATTTTTCATTTCATTCTAAAATGCTCAGTGGTTATGTCCTGAGATCTGACATTAATTCCTGCTAAGATAACTAAAAACTGTTTTCTCTTACCTTTCTGGTAAGTGGCACTTCAATAGGAACAGGAACAACTTCTGCAAGGAGGCAGCCATAAAATGCTACCATAAAAGCTGCAGGATCATTATTGGGAAATACTAGTGCTACCTGTCAAAAAAAGTGGGAGGAGAAAATTAAATAATTAATAAGACCTGTAAATACATTTTTAAACTATTGGCTAAGGTAGAGAAAGAAATCATGATTCTATCCTAGATTGTTCAAGCATGCTTCCCCAATATGGTGCCTTCCAAAAGTGCCAGAATATAAAGGATTGGAGAATTATGTTTTAGAGCAGGGATAAGCAAGTTGACCTTGATTGATTTGCAAAAATAAATAAATAAATAAATAGTGTTGGACATGGTTAGTACCTGGATGGGAGATCAACAGGAAATCCCAGGCATTGGGTTAGAAGGAAATGGCAAACCACCTCTATACTATTACCAAGAAGGCTAATGGAGATGTCCATATTGTCATCAGTAGTCAAACTCAGTGTTTCTTTCCAGCAACTGGTGTCATTCCATATTAAAGACTGGGTAGGGCTTCCATCATTTGTGCTCCAGAAGCTATGATCTTTGACCAAAGACCTTCCGCATATGCCATCCTGGAAGGAAGTCTGCCTGGTAGTTACCAGCAGCAGGGCATTCTCAGTGGTGGCCCCAGTGCTGTGGAACTCCTTCCCTTAATGGCTCCCCCAGCAGTTCTTTGTCCAGTTTAAGAAGTATTTAAAAACTTATTTTTATATCTTGGCCTTCCCAACATAGCATGGTTATGCCTCAGTCTGTCCCCTGGATGTTTATAATGGGACCATGGGCTTTTTTGGACTGGATGTATCCAGTATTCAGTGTTTTGATATTGATGTTATTTGCTACTTTCATCTCTATATTATTAGCTTCTTGTTGTTGATTGGATTCTTGTTAATTGCTGCTAGAAGCAGGTTGGCTTTTCAGTTATATGTGATATACCACTGTGATAAATAAACCAGTAAACTGTAGTTCAGCAACATCAGCACTGTTTGCCTATCCCTTTACCGAGTAAACACCCCTAGAGCAACCAATAATGGTAACCAAAGGAATGGGATTTTATGAAGCCAAACTGCTTCTAGCAGGAATGATCCTTTAAAGATCCTTTAATGATTTTTGGTGCCAGTTGCTCTTACACGGCTTCTACATGGTCCTATTTAAAGTTAATTGGAACTTAAAATGAAATATACTGTATGTAAATCCTTATTTCAATCCTATTTCTACTGAGAAACTGAAAGAGACATAAATTGACTTTTCAGTTAGCCTAACCGTAAACCCATTTTAGTTTCATCTTATACCCGTCTTTCATTTTTATCACTTTTCAGATGCCACATGAATAAACTGTTTAGTGGAACACTACGATTACTAGAGGATGCTCTTATGTTTTGTTATTAGTTTTTGATATTTGCTGAAAATCATGCTTCTATTCAGACTCATAAAAAAAAACAAACTGAAAGGGCTACTTTCCTGTTGCAAATTTGTTTTATTCTCTTTTCCCCATTAAAAGGAAAGGAATATGGCATCTTATTTTTCTGGTTCCTGTTGATCACTTTCAAACTGCATTTCTACATATTCCTCCTCTCCTGACATTCAATTTTATTCCACATGACAGTAAAAAAGCTTAAACAGGAAAGAGGCGAAAACCTCGCATGGTCATTCAGTGATGCTATATATTCCTCCAAGAAAGGGAAATTCTTTGGAATAATGATTCTCAAATAATTGTTTTCTGCAATCAGTTTTCTGGAGAACTCTGCTGCAAGATCTTTCTCTTGAGGTCATGGCTGAATGCTCTTCGTTAAGTGGTCATTCTAATGCTCAGGTTGGGGTCACCCGCTGCCTCCTTGCCACTACGCATGTTAAGTTTCATGCAGATCATGGATCTCCATCTGTTACTTTATATGTTGCACTACTATGCCAGCTTTTGAGAAGTCTTTACTATGTGAAAAGATGTGTGCACTGGTCAGATTAGTGCAATATTTTTGCCCCAAAATGGAAAAGTTGTTTGAGCAACTTAGTATATAGTCAAAGAAAGGTCCAAAATATTATACCAGGATTCACGTATATAGAAGAATTTAAATCTCTCTTTATAGGGGATGCGGTGGCGCAGCGGCTTAATGACGCTGAATTGGTAGCTATCCATGGAACAGCCTCCCCTTAACACTTTAGAGGGTAAACTAACAATTACAAACTAAGGGTTAGGCAAGAGATTCACCGAAATACACAGCAATCTGAGAGAGGACGCAGAGAAAGAAAATGTCTAGCTGTAATGTCAATTTCATAACTTCCCTTGACTTATTTATTCTGTGTGCTGTTTCAGCCCACTATGGGTATGATTTAGAGTCTTAAGCACTACCATAAATCAAGATGAAAGATTCTGTAGACCCATCTTGGCCAAATGCCAAAGCAGACAATGATTTAAATTCAACATCTGCCCACAGTCTCTTTAGTTTAATTCTTCATGATCACTTATGAAAACAAGAAAGAAAGAAATCATCTGTAGGGCCTGAACTGACACAGGGAGTGCTCTGAAGTTGAACAGCTTAAGACAAGAAAGAAAAAGGGAGAAAGTCTTATGAGGGAAGGCATAGAAGGCTAAGTAGCAAGAGGCAATTAGGAAGAGGTTAAACCAGAGAATATTTACAAGAGTTCACTAATCTAATTTAATTTCTTTTCATTCATTTGGGAGATTCACTTGCCACCATTTAGAGAAGCACTCCCAAAAGTATAGTTTAAAGGTTTAAATTTGTTTCTGTGGAGTTTCATTAACATCCTCTGGTATTAACGACAGACCCAGCTTCAGTTAAGCAAGTAGAAATGTAGGTTATTTTTTTTAAGCCTCTTCCATTTTATGCTTTATTCCTCTCCTTTCTGTTTAGACTGTAGCTCCTTTCCCATTTTCAGAAAAGAGAGGCTGTAAAAAGGTACCATTTTCATAATAAAACTTTCCAGTGCCAAGTCATAATGAGTATTCGTATGCAAACACAACTGAAGAAGCAGCTGGACAGAGGCTGAGACTACTTAAAAACTGAACACAAGACTTGACCAATTCCAGGAGGATCTTTTTGCACATGGGAAATTACATACAATGTGAACAGGGCAACTCCCTAGAACACTGAGAAAAAACCCACAGCTCTCAGTAGCACAAGCACAGACTGTGGCTGTCAGAATGGAGGAGGGTTGGTAAGTGCTGTTCCCCACCAACATTTCTGTTCTGTATTTCTTGCCAGATGTAGGGTTTTTTTCCTTTGTGGTGAACAGCAGCTTTGATTTTCTGACTGCTGATCCCATTTTAGTGCTGACGAGAGGAAGTAGCAGCTTCATGGGAAGAAACCAACCAGGTATGTAAATGAAAAGTAGAAAGGAATCCATAAAGTACTGCCATCACAGGGACTTGGATGAACAAGAAAGGGATATGAAGAAACCCATACAGGATATCAGAAGTGAAACGTGAAAAGGAAAAGCACAACATGGATGGCGAGACGGAAAAGGAGTTGGTGAATAAATAGCAGGGATGGAGATAAATTTGGCAATGAAACTGGAGGAACAAGGAGAATTCTTCTTCAGCCCAGTGTTTCACAGATGGAGACCAGAAAGACAGTGCCTGCCCTCAGTTAAATGCTTGCGAAAAGATAGAATAAAGAACAGGGTTTCTATAACACAGCATGGTAGCATATCTCTTGAGGGAAGAAGATGGTTGGCCTTTATAAACATTTAGGTGTGATAAGCAAAAATATATTTCACTGGACAAGCAATTCTTCAAAATTCTTTTATCTTGCTTGCATATTATATAGATCAGTAGTTTTTTAATTTTTTTAGACCACGGAACCTGTCAAACCCACCCAACTCCCGATCAAGAGGCAAAGCTGTAGTGATAGTGATTTTTTTCCCCCATCTACTGAACTCAGTTTCTCACGGAACTCCAGTAAGTTTTTGTGGAACCCTAGAGTTCCACAGGACGCAGTTTGAAAAACCCTGATATAGATTTTCCATATCATGCGCATGTGTTTTTAAATACGTATCTATGGAGTACCTTGCATTGCGGTCCTACGGACCTGTGCCAGGGGCCAAAGGATATATCAGATCTCTAAGGGTGGAATGAGAGGTTTGCCCTCAGAGGGGAGATCTGATCAGATGTCTTTTTCTGGCTTTCAGAGAAACTTGTAGGGCCAGTCATTTTCACTGTAAGAGCTTCAATATGAGAAATGGGGGAAAATTCATGCTGGGACAGATGGGAGAAACGCACATTATCAGCTATGGGCCTGGTGTAGATTAATTCCCTCACCCTGGACGTCAGGGAGAGGAAATTTTTTTTAAATGGTTCTCTATTTCTGTCTTTCTGGCAGAAATGTAACAGGGTTATAGGCTGGAAGCTCTAATACTGGAGCTCTGTGTAGCCTTAAAAAGCCTTACATAGAGCTTTTTAATTGGATATTTATCTAATGGCTACTGCATAAGCCATAATGGACTTCTGCATGAAGACAAATTGAAATGTTATGGGCAAAGATCATTCACATCACAATATGCAAAATAATTCACTATAATAACATTTTAAAAAATCAAGAAAAATTTGTTACGTTATGGCAAGGCTCATAAGGTTTTCATATGTTAAGGAAAAAAAATCAAATTGAAGGAGGAAAAAGCCTTAACAGTGATTTGGAATAGAAATGCTGGGTGGACAAAACTCACTCAGCCTAACAGAGAGGTGAGAAACTGTCTTCTCAGGGACATGGGGTAAGTCTCTCATATTTCTGACAGAAGACCTGGAAGATATGGAAGTGCTGTGACTGAGATGTGTCCCTCTCTTTGGGACTGAATAGAAATCACAAGAGAAAATTGCCAAGCGCACACACACGCACATATTTCAACACCAGTTTGCAGTAGCCTGCCCTCCTTTAAGCTATTATGCTCTAATGCCAACAGTTACTCCTTTTAAGTGGGAATATTTTTAACTGATTGTGCTAAACATCTTATTAATTAGCTAGCAACATTCCCTTGTTCAAGTCTGACCTTTTCACAAAAACTCTTTTGTTTCTATGATTTCCCAGAATACACAGGCACACACAGTCTCATTTCCAAAACTGATTTCATCTGCATGGCAAGCATGTTCTAATGCTCTTCATATAAGGGAGCCATTGTGACATGAACGGCTACTGTTTTAAAAGAGAGACATATAATTTTTAACCGTAAATAGGCTGTTATAAATAAACTCTCTTCGGCCTATTAACTATTTTTTTAAAAATCTGGTGTAAATGTTAGGGTGCAATTGTTTGAAGCACAGATGTACACACTGTGGCCTCAGGTCTCTATCTGATCCTTGAAAGCTTTGGATGAACTCCTACAGCCCTTTCAAAGGTTGCCATGAAATTGTAATAATGAATGTGAGAAATTAAAAATTATTGAATACATGGGGAATTACAGTATTTACAGGTAGACCCCAGATTAAGAATGCCTGGGTTACAGACAACCCACAGTTAAGAACAGAGCACTACTGTAGCAAAATTCGGGTTAAATACACAATGGTTTGAGTTCATTACACAATACTTCTTATACAGTATTATACAATAATACCATTCCAACTTACTGTACATACAAATTCGACTTAGGGACAGACCTTGGGAATGGAACTTGAACAGGGGACTATCTGTAATTCATTTAATTTAAATACACTGAAATTAAATTTAGTTTTGACTTTCCTCCCCTCTTTTGGGAATGCAACCTTGACATATCAATCAAAGGATCTCATGTGACCCTTGGATGGTTGTGCAACCTGGTTTATAGAATGCAACAACACAAAAATATAAACCATGATGCATAAATAAGCTTTTCAAAGATTAGAAATATCACCTATGGGGGTTTAAGAGTCTATCTAAGATAGTAAAGGCACACACTGAGCCACTTACCCTGTCCCCTGGCCGCACCATGGGTTCCTGCTTTGTGCCCAACTTATGCAGTATGTTATAAGCGACTTTCATACTACGGGTCCAAAGTTTACCTAATCAAAAAGATAAATAATATAAATATGGCATGGAATATTTACGTTTTATTATAAAATGGTTCAGAACACAATTCACAGATTCATTTGCCCCAAACAAGAAAAAGGTAGGAATCCATAATTGTATAAAAACCATATTGTATTAGAGCTTATTCTGATTGGGACATCTTCATGATACAATATCTAACTGTGCTGCTAAACTTCATATTTTAAACAGACATCTTTTAAAAGTTTGTACTTTAAGAACAACTTTCTTTCATCAGCAACTAGGTCTTATTGCTTAAGTCGAAATTGGCTCTGACTGCCATATCTTAAAACTACCTAAATACTCTTTCCTTTATTCCACCTCAAAGAGTTTTTATTTCACAATGCAAGTCAACTGATTGGATATTCATGTTTAAAAATCAATTTTACTTCTATTATATTTATATGTTCTTATGAAACCTATCTAGATTTTATACTCAGAAGGTCACATCTACATCATGCATAGTGATAGCACAGCAATCCTCCAAACTAAAGAAGATAGTACACCACTGGTCATATGGAGTCCTATGAATGAATATTGGAGCTTCAAAAGAACATAGAAATAGATCCAAAATGCAATTTGCCTTGTTGGATCTTGTGCATATCCTTCCCCAATCTTGGACACGCATACCTTGTTATGTAAAACCCTAAGCGAAGAAGAATTCTGCACTCAGAGGGTAAATTGATGAACCGTACCATGAACATACTTCTATCTTTAGCCAAGTGTTCAAGAGTGGTTTCCCTTGGTATTATAGCAATCAACTAGTAGCTGCTGTCTTGTCAGCACAAACAAGTCAGATCTGTTTCAATGTGCCTGGAAAGTTGATGATTTTGTTCTTTGAAACATTCACCCTGACAGTCTCATGGCTACTTATAGAGGGCACAATCAATGTCGACTTTTTCTGAGCAAGCTCTTCCAGACGTTGTGTATCAGCATGGCTTGACGCAGAGGAAAATGTTTTTCATCGATTGTGTCCAGACAATTTTGAGTGCTGGCAACGCTTGGCCCAAATCCATACAAGGCTATAACCAAGCCATTAGTCACCTCCAGTACAGATCAGCATCTTTAAGTCAATTACGAAAGTTCATAGAAGCAAATGAAAAAAGCTATTACTGTTTTTCTCAGTAATTGCTTTCTAGATGAAACCTTTTATTTGCAGTAGTTAATGACAGAGCATGTGACAAAAAAATTATAAAATAAAAATCAAGCATTTGCAAGCAGAATTTTGGAAGCAAACAAGAAAGCAATTCATTTTGAATCCCACTGATTTAATTAAAATATAGATAGTGATGTAAGTATAGACAAAAATATAACCAAGGAAAGTATATTGAAAGAGAAACAAGCAGCTTTACACAAAACAGGTTTGATGCCAATATGATGCTTCAGGATAAGATGGGCAATGGCTTTGTGGTATCTGTGATCACAAGAGGTGTCAACAGACTAGCAGAATTACACATTTTTTAAAAAAATGCCTGAATTTTCATTAGATTTCAGGAAAGAACACACAGGGCTGAGATGTTAAACTTCATGAGATTTCAGCAATTTTGTAAGATTTCTGGTGATTTTTATTTTGAAGGGGAGATAAATGTCTTTGAAATTACGGTTGTCTTGTATTTGAAAATACGGTTGATCCAGGCGTAACCCATCATACAGGGTTAGGGAGAAGAGTTTTAATGGAAGGATTAAATGGAACGTTGATGGAAGGATTGTCTGACATACTCAGCATTCACACAACACAAGGAACTAGATCAGGTAAAGACCTTGCAGCCACTGGCATCCACAGGGGTGTGTCAAAATCAGCATTGGGATGCAAGACGCACCCCTTTTGTATATGTGCATTAATGTTGCATGCATGTTCAAAATTGGTGGGACCTGCATTGTAATGCTCCATCTATTATCTTGCCCATTTTGATCTTCCGTGGATGCCGCTGCCTGTCACTGCAGTTATATAAGCTGCTGCATGTGGCTAGTTTTGACCTTAGTTTTTGTTTTGGGTATGATCATCAGATTATTTTAAATTCAGTGTGAAATTCAAAATCTGGATTTGTTTAATAATATAGTGAAGCATGTTTGTGAACCTAGCCAGAGAACACAAATCAATCTATCTCCCACTTACACTGTCAACTATGCTCCTTTTCCAAATGTGCAATGTGATCTTGCTGACATTTGTCACTGTCACTGAATGTAAAGGAACTCACTTCCAAAGACAAAGCATAGCCTGATTTTATTGAGAATTGCATGCATTTCCATACCTGGTCCAAGCAAGTTCACACATAGTTTTATCTGAAACAACCAACGATGCCTGTTTGTAGCTTACTGAAAATCAAAACTTTATTTTCTGACATTTACTATCCTTGAAGGCAGAAAGTCTAGAATAAAGGGGAATGTACTGTACTAGTTTTAAGGTTGCTTCCCTAAGTGTATTTATTAGAGCTAAACACACATCGAACATGAATCAGAAGTGCTTCATATCCCATGTGCATATAGCAGATTTCTGCTATTCATTAGAGAAACGACTTTTTCCACGTTTCTGTGTGAGGTCCAAAGCATTTCTTTCAAAGCATTTTTGAAGCGGGCATAGCTTTACTACCATATGCAGAAGATTCCATTTACGATCAATTGGATACATCCCTGAATAAATGTGTTTAATTAATAAGCTTGTGCAGGGAGGGGGGACATTAGAAAGCTTGGATATAGATGCTTTTATAAAACTTGGCAGTCTTCTTGCCGGGAGACTTCTCCATTAGTCGTGAATATGTTAAGTGTAAAGGCTGTCAACTTGTGGCAGAGAGGTATGCCAAGAGAAAAGCAAACCACAAAATCAGAATCATATCACAAACAGTAGGATTGTCATCACCACACACCACTAACTTAGCCACAGCAAGCCAGGATCATCTTACCAAGCCTATGCATATCAGTTCAGAATCTGACAAAAACCAGCTGCAAATTAATTGTACATTTTTTCAGCATCACAATATTCTTCACACAGCTTATGCATTGCAGTAATGGAGTGCTTCTGATGCGCTTACCATGTACAAAAATAGAGATTACAAGACAGGATTGTATGCAAGTATTTCCCACATTTGAAAGGTGGGTAGTTTGTTCTAATCTGATTCACTCTGCCCTGCCCCCACGCGATAGCACCGAGGCCCCCTGAATGTAGAGGCTGCTACGGAACCAGAAAGGGTAGGTGTACATTTCAGACTGAGAATGATGGAACATACACTAAGTAGAGGCAGAGGGAATTATTTTAGGACTGATGCATAATAGTCCCCTTAAATTATTTCCGCACTGAAATACATAAACAGAAAACGTTACACGATGAGTGGGCAGTGTACAAACTCTCTTCTTCAAGAATGCAAGGACAGCCGTGATCTGAAAGTGACTACTTTTCTAGGGCAATAAATCTCATGAATAAACACTGGTACATGCACAAGGGATGTGTGTGTAACTTAAGGAATGGAAAATGTTCATAGAGTAATCTTACATTTGAAAGGAAAATTAACCTGAGAAAAGCCAACTACCCTTAAGATAGTAAGGAATTGCCAATATTGAATCAAACTAATATTTCTGCTGACTGCTACCAACTCTAAACAACATGGCTCCCCTGACTTTTTCCTGTTATTGCTACAGATGGAGACCACTTAGCTCAGCACAGAACTTCATATATTCCAAACATGAACTCCTCCATTTAGCTACATCCTTCTCCATTAAATATACCCTTCATATTGGTTTCGTTCATTTCAATCAAGCTGTGTATTTATAATTTGTCTTGGGAGGAGGGACCCTTAAGAAACTATCATATCTATATTTAACAATTAAAAACATGAAACGATTTTCAGCATTCTATGGTATTTCTTTACTCAAAAAGAAAAAAAAAGATTGCTGACCGTAAGTGAGAATATATAGTGGTTTTCCATTGGTATCCATAGTGGTTAAACAAGGAGCTTTGGGGGAAATTGTTCCCCATCGTTGCAATGCCGCTTCAAGTGAAGGAGGCCAATTCGTAACCACGCCCAGCTGTTCCCCACGCATCGCCAACATCTGAGCTCCTTCTGGCTTTGGTTGGTTTGGGTCTGGCTGTTGAACTTACAAATGTGAGAGGGTGTTACTTCATTTAATTCTGTACTAAACTAGAGGGAAAGAGAATGAAACATTTACTTTTGAAAGATCATCTGAAAACAAGAGAAATGCTGGAGAGCAATCTTCCCCAATTTGTGCACCATCCAGATATGTGCATATCAACTCCCAGAATTTGCCAGTGAGCACAGCCAAGAATTCTGGGAGTTGAAGTCCACACATCTGGAGATACCCATGTTGGGGAAAGCTGCCATAGAGAAATCTCTGGCCTATTTGAGATATTAGAGCAAACAATGATTAGATGATAGCGAATGCACTACAGGCAAGCCCTTTCTCATTTATGTTCCTTCTCCCACTTTAATCTTTGCAGTAACCACGACTTTCTCAATTTGGATGGTCAATCTGCTCCTCAAAGATCCTTCATGGATATCCAGAAGTTCAAGCTGGTGGGTGTGTATGAACAATATTGTTAAAAGAATATGGTTTACAAAAGAATAGTGCATACTGCCCTCCTTACCAACTAATATAAACAAAGGGTGTTATTAATTATGTGCACCATTTCATATGACAACGTTCAGCTCTTTATACTAATCATCAAATAGTAGCCTATACGTGTAAATGAGGCACTTCAGAACACCAACATTCAGAATCATGTGTCACCTGAGGCAGTAAAGTCAGCTCACATGATCTGCTATGATCACATGTTCAGAAAACTGAGAAATCAAGTGATATACATAAAAATGTGAAACCATTTTCTCTTAATTTTCAGTCAGATACTGACTGCTTCCTTCAAACTATCTTGACACCATGGAGAAACAACACACTATTGTCGTTAAAGTACTGGATTTCAACCACAGAGACTCAGGTTGATCAAAGGGCTCAGCAGATGACTTTGGATTGTCTACTCTCTCTTGGCCTTCTGTACCTCACAAAGGGAGGATAAAATAAGGGCACAATCTCCTTATGCTGTCTTAGGCTCCTACCAGAGAAAGGCAGAAAATAATCCAATGGATAAATAATACACTGTCTCAAAAAAAAAAAAAAAAAAGCTGTCTAACAGAATAATACTTAAAGCTTCAGTGAGTCTATATACAGATAGTTCCCAGTTTAAGAACAAGTTCCATTCCCAAGGTCTGTCCTTAAGTCGAATTTGTATGTAAGCCGGAACTGTATTATTGTATAATACTGTATAAGTATATTGTGTAATGAACTCGAACCATTGTATATTTAACTCGAGTCATCATGTATTTAACTCAAATTTTGCTACAATAGGCTCCGTACTTAACTATGGGTCGTCTGTAAACCGTGCGTTCTTAACCCGGGGACTACCTGTAATCAAAATTAAGTACAGAATCCAAGTAAATTTTACTGTGGCACTTTTTTTCTGGCACAAGAAATGAGCAATTTTACAAGCCTGTCCCCAAAATACATGCACGAAAATCAAACTGTATTACCTTCTAATAATTCTTCAAAGTCATCCACAAAGAACTCTCGTAGTGGTGGCCGTTTGGGTCGTTTCAGGGTATTGACGAGTTGCTGAATTTTTGCAGACACTCTGCTGCTTACTGGAACTCCTGCAGAAAAAAAAACAACAGAAGCGTTAAAGCGCTGACTATGTCTGCCAGTTCTAAATAGAGAACAAAAGCATATCAATCTGAATTCAAGCTTTAAAATCAGATTAAGTAATGGCACACGTGAAGCAGCGTGACACCCCTGCAGAGACACTTTCAAAAATTTCTGTCCAAGATGGCAAATAATCTTTGGTCGTTTTGACCTTTGCATAAGATACCTAAACTCAGTCACAAGTTGCAAGAGCCCTCTAGTTAAAGTTCACTGTGATTAGGCAATTTTAAGATAAATAGATGGATAAATGCCCTCCTCAAGTAGAATGGCCAGAGAAGTTCCAACTCTTCAAGAAAAACTGCACTTCAAATAGGCCTAGAAGCAGCAAGACCTGTTATGTCAAATTCTAATACCCTTAACAAGAAAGAGGCACTTCCATGGCTCATTCTTCTGGATACCTCTGGAGTTACTTGTTAACCTGCTTCACCAAGGTTCTTCTTACTGAACCTACACAGACACAAAAACACCCATACCTTATTCTTTCTTGACTTTCCTGGTCATCCTCCATGCAGAAGTATGAACTCTTGCTAATTAAGTCTTTTTAAAATTAATTAATTAATTAATTAATGCTTTTTAATGTACATATATATGAACTGGAATACCTCTGCTACACGGTCTATCTGGCCAAACTTTCCTTCCTGGAGTCTATGCCTACCTTCTTCCATTTTACAAGACATACCATCACCAGTTTCCATAAGTTCAGCATTTCCATATTTTGGAGCCACCCTTGATGTCGAACCTTGTGGTCTTTCTACTTGTATTGAGTGTTCAGAGGTGTAAGTGGTAACATCTGGAGGTGCAGAATGATTTTCTGCAAAAAAGGAAAAAATTGAAGTCTCTTATTAATATACTGTATTCGTATTTTCTGACTGTACAATTCCTTCCATGAAAATCACCACTTTGAAAATAAAATGTCTGTTTTGATACAATTTTATAATTGATGACCTTTCATTAAGAATCATGAGTACCACATCTTCAATTTTCAAAACAAAAAGATTCAGGATTGATCCTGATCTAGACAAAAATAGGCTCACTCAAATCACACTAAAAATAATGGAACAAATGGTACTTATGTACATACTACCTTTCATGGTTAGTTACCACTAATTGTTGTGAAAAGCAATTTTGAAAGCAATATGAATGCTATACTGTGGCTAGCATAACATTACTTCTGCTATCATCATGAAGGCAATGTATTTTCATTCATTCATTCATTCATTCATTCATTCATTCATTCATTCATTCATGGATACTGTTAAATAAATCACATTTTAATTGTATTTTAATTTGTATTGTTTTGGATTCTGATAATTGCCTTGCTGCTGCCTAATTTGTATGGTCCCTTAATATTCTGTATTTTAGCTAACTTTATTGTACATGTTTTAACCAGAATTGCATATTTCTTTTTTTGAGTGTTTCCTTGGGCTATTGGGTGATTTAGAAATCCAAATAAATATATAATTTTTTATAACCTCCTCAATCCATATAGTATCTGGGTAGTATATAGTAGTTAAACACATGGTACAATAACAAACCATGAGGGTCACCCAGACAAAGCTATGGGCCAAAAACTCACAGTCCCGCTTTAACCTACTTCTTGAAATCACAGAGGGTTGGGGCTGCTCATTAGATGAGGACTACCTCCAAGATGGCCTGTCACCTGGTCTGTGAATCTCATGAAGAGAGCAGCCCTCAACAGATCCACTCTAGGTGTCCTAATTGGTTATGAACTCAAGCTGTACAACGGCTCCCACAAAAATGAAAAAGACAACTTCATTTTCCAATGTTGAGTCAAACACAGGATAACTATTACTAAATGTAAATTACTAAATGTAATTTCAGGAAGGCAAATTAGTATTTCCTTGACTGAATTAAGTGAGAGAGAGAAGCAGTCATCTATGCAGTATACAGTATGCAATGAAATAATGCCTACATCATTCTAATGGGACTTTTAAATTATTTTCTGTCCCAGCTGCATAATCACAAGGTAAACCAAATTTGACAATAAAGGCAAATGGTGTTTCTGGAATTGGTTAGCTGTTCAGTCACACCTTCTACTGAACATGCACCTGATGGAATAGCACTAATCCACACAAGTTTATGCTGGAAGACCCTCACATCTCTTATTTTTACATTCTGCAAACTAGCACTTTCCATCAGTGAAGTGCTGCATTTTTAAGTACACATTTGTGGAAACAAACAGAACTCATTAGAGGTTACTTCCATGTAAACATGGAAAGAGCTAGGCTCTATACTGCACTCTATAGCCATTGTTTTAGAGTTTATTTTTTAAAAACTAGCATTAAGTGCTGGGTCAATATGAAAATTGTGTTAAAACTGTCCAGTATGTGAATGGCCCATCATGGACTGGACATGTAGCGATTTGCTTGCTACTTCCCCATTTCCAGACATAGTTACTATGTCAATTCTTCTCTGTCACACATTCTGCATTTTCAGAAGCAACTCTGAATCAATGGCCACCCTTCTGACATCACCTGATAATTCTCAAGCGAATCCTTTCCTTTCACAGCTCAGTTCAGTAGCTCACCGTGTTTTTGCCATTTATGTTTGTTCTCGGTCACTCTTCAATTTGTACTCTTGTACAAATTTTGCATGCACTTTTTAAAAAATCACCCATTATAGGGAGGAGAGGTCATCGTGCAGGAAAGTAACCCGTATCAGGATTTAACAAGTTTTCTGTTCAAAAGCCTAAGTGATCAAAAGCATCACCCATCAAGGAGAGCCTGGTGCTGTGCTCCTACGCCAAGCTGAAACCATTAGGAATAATGATTATCGAGCTTAATCAAGGAGCAGCTTTCTAAATGGAGTATCTGCTGCGTCATCTGAAGCTTTAAGATGACAACACTCAAAGTAGTAGAATCATTACATGAAAACCATCTCTGGGGTAACCTAATCACAGCAAGCATTCCATTTACCATCATCGCTGATGGCCCAGAAAACCACCTGAGAGAAGCTAGTGGGAAAGGAGAAGGCCTTCACCCTCAAAAGTGGCTCATCGTTTTTGCAACTGATTTTTCTTCTAAGCCACCTTAAGGGGAAGCAGAAATAAAATTCAAAGGACATTCAATAGCTATAATGGGGTTAATCCAGTGTTCCTCAACCTTGGCAGCTTGGAGATGTGTGGACTGAACTCCCAGAATTCCTTGTACCATACTCTGTGTTTCAGCTTGTTTTGCTCAATGATAACTCATGATTTATAGAAGAAAGGTGACTCTTGCTTATCTCTATATGCTGGCAAATTACATTTCAGATTCTGGTTTTATTTCTATGGATAATAAGCTGTATTCTAATGATTTGTTGTAAATGAACAAGAGACAGCTAATTCCAAAGCCTTCTCTAGGGGCTTTGTCTTAAATTGTCTTGAGAGAGATCTGTTCTCTTCCTGCAGTTCTTGTGTGGAAGAGAATGAAAAGAGTGGTAGAAAGAGAATAACAGAGTTGTCCAATTCTGGACTCATGCTTCACTACAACTACCATGTGCCCCTGATAGGAAATGATGGAATAAACCAATCAGGGTCTAATTGTCACCAGTAGCTATGATGTAGTTTTGAGCATGAATAGTATCTATTTCTTTTTTTGAACTGTGACTTACTATCACAATGGTCAACTCTCTTACACAGCAGGAAGAATATTCTAAAATGAAACTTCCTCATTGGCACCTGTTCACTTTAACTTTGGGGCCACACAAGAATGTGCACATGAGAGTGAATTTACTTTGCACATTGCAGCTGTTGTCAAATGCTACGTGCTTTGCATATTGGAAAACAGAGAACTAAATCTATAGATGTACGCATAGACTAAATCTATAGATTCTGTGTATGCTTTAAGAAGGCATACCAGATACAGCTACAGTTTTAAAAAATATTTTTTATTGAATGAGTAACCCCAAACTATGCTGAAAAAGCATCCTCCACTCTAAGAGTTCAGCAGCCCCATTAAGGAAAATTAAGTTGTTTCAGAAGAAAAATGACTCTGATCAACATATGTTGGAAGTAAATATAGGAACAGTGACAGCTGCAGGACTTCAAAGTGCTTGTACCCTCAAAAGATTATTAATTTGCATTGCCCCACAGTCCTGTCCCTTTCAATAAATTCACACTGTAAGCCTCCAAGTTCAACAGCTGTTCTCCAACAAAAAGCCAACAATGGCTTTGACTATTGTTGTCAAAGAATATAACCTAAAAAGCATAGCAAAAATAAAATAACATGCTAGAATTATAATTTTGGAACTCTTTGGCTACGAAGTAGTCTTTCCTCTTGTTCTGACTCTGATCAAAGGCACTAGGCAGACAATAATGTTAAATAACCAGTGTGCAAAAAATGGGAGGTATCCAGGCCAAGTGATGTATATTGCAAGAGCAGTAGGGCCTTTCAATATGCCAAATGGTGGCATATATATGGATCCAATGAAAGCTTAATGTGATTTTTAACTAAAACTACTCCAATAATATATTTTCATGCCTGGGAGGGGCAAACATAAATTTAGTCTTCTCTGCCCAACGTTTTACAAGCCCTCCCCCAAAACCTGCCACAGACACTTTCAAAGACATTTTGGTATAAATTCAAAGTAAAGCGTCAGCCAATTACAGTTCCCTAAAGATAATTAATATGATACATATATTTGAACAATACAGCTTGTTGTGCCTGTGCTGCACTTTAGGATACATTTAAAAATATACCTTAACGTGAATGCATTCTTACTAAACTGATTCATGGACATAAAGTAGAATAGTTCATACAACAGAATATAATTTGGCTTAGTGTAGGGTCTAAATCCAGACTATAGTCAGGATGCCTTAACCACAATCTGTATCCAAGACTTGGTTCTGATGAGCTTATTCTGAACCACTGGCCTGATGTATCGTCTGAACTTGGGATAAGGGCAACGTTTTGGTGAAGCAGCTGTAAGTTCTCCAGGGAGGAGAGGTGTGGCTGCAAATCAACAGCCCTCCTATTGCTGCTTCTGGGAAGGAAGAGTTAGCTTTCCCCCTCTCTGTGTACAATGGCTGCAATTTTCCTAGGGCCATCCAGCACCTGTCCCTTTCTACAGTAAAATGAACAAAACAGGAAGCATCAGCTGCCCAGCCACTGCAAAAGCAGCTGAGATCCATGCCACACAGCTGGATACAGATACCTCCATCCAGGAGTTCTTTATTAAGTCTTTCAGCATGGCTTATCATGTTCATGGATCAAGTTTTGTATTTCTAGTTTAGTCAAGAAATACCAAAAAAATCCAAAGACTGCAGAGGCAGTAGGAAAGTTTGGTTTTAAAATAAAAACTCTAACAGGAAAAAACAGTGTGAATTACACGGAAAGCACATTGTACATGAAACTATGGGTAGTTTCCCATTATCTTGGGTCTGATGAGAAAATTCCGGAGAGAAGCTAAATTGTCTCTACAAGCTTACTTTGAGAATGGAGCCTTTTTGTCAAAATGTATAGGCCAGTCTTTTCCAACCTACATACCATCCAGACACGTGGGCTTCAGCTCCTTGTATTCTCAGCAATGGCTGAGTCCATACATTTGGGAGCATCTTGGGTGGGGAGTGTTGATAGTCTTCAGTCACTTAGGCATGCTGAGTATCCAAACAGTACAGCTTTCCTATTCCAGTTCTGTTCAGATATGGATATTGGAAATGGAAACATCTGGAGGGTACCTTGTTGAGGAATTAAATCCAGAATGAATACCCTTGCTTATTCACAAAGCCCATGGACAACCTTAGGCTGGTTATGTGTTTCTCTGTGGCAGAGGTTTCGTGTATATAAGAAATATGTGCGATACTCTGAGGTGTCTGGAAGAAATGTTGGACAAAAGTCATCTAATAAATAAGTAACACATGGGTATTAGCCTGTGTTCACTGGTGCACACATTCTACAATTAATTTTAGAAGCCTAAGCAATAAAATAGTAGTTTTATTAGTTTTAAATAAAAAAGGCTTAGACTCATAAGACAAAGGTTCTAAACTTCAATAAAGATTAAGTTATACATTTTGCCATTTTCTTAAATTTAAAAAAGGACAACTTTTTGAGTCAATTAAAATGTATCTTGTGTCTTGCCAATTCTATGACTGTACTATGGAACTCTGGACAGAATACTCTATAATCACCTTTTCCTTACCAAAAATAAGCACTGCCATGGACTGGAATTTCCTCTTTTTGATTCTAGCTGCTGAATGAAGAATTCTTCTTAATTCAGATTTAGCTCTTTTAATATAACCAGCTCAGGAATACAAGCATTAGCTTTGAACACTGAGTGCTTTCTTCTGTAAGCACTGCCATTTCCTGTATTTTACTTCCAATGTCTATCAATTACCGAGCATCAACAACTTCATTAAAACAATGACCATTAATTGGTGTTCCTTCTGTTAACTGAATCACATTTTTTCTATGAGCTATCAGGCAATATATACCAATTCCTTCATGATGTTTAATCTCCAGATCAATATCTGTAAATTGGGTGTCACTCAGAATTAATTGCTATGCTAGTGCAAGGCAAATTGCAGAGCAAAAAAAGGAGTAATACCGATAAAAGAATATGCTTATAGGATATGTGCTTATACTGCACACTGTATTCTGAAGTTTTGTGGACTATACAAAACAGGAAATTAAAGTTAATAAGATATTTCTGGGTTCATTTGCTCGCCTGTGCGTGAGTTTCTAAAGTTGGGTTTATCTAAGCAATGGGATGCTTAAATATGGATTGTAACTGGACAGATTCACACATATATTCAACCACAAACTATGGCTTACTTATCCCATGAGTGGGTTCTTACTTCACATTAAGCAAAAATCAAGTTATACTGTAACTCAGAGCAATGTGCAAACAAGCCACAAAATAATTAAAATTTCTGTATTTCTGTTAACGTACAACTAAAACTAATGTTATGAATCTTAACAACATTTAGCAATGCCTTTGTTTTACAAAAATAAAAACCTACAGGACCACAGCAATGCTTTATTTCTGATAGATTATGCACTCAGGTTTATGTAACTATTTGTTTCTGACAACTGTCGCTGAATAATTTTCTCTGTATTTCATGACAAATTTAACAATGACCAAAAGAAAGACTGGGGAAGTGGTTTCCTCAATTTAAGTGGGACATGGATGAATAAGTACATGCTGTAAATGTAGGAATATTTGGGAATTTCCTGAAAAAACTTACTGAATTTAAATGGTATTTGTGGAAGAGATAGCTTAGCTTAGGGGAAAATCCCAGAGAATTATAGTTTCCCATTTTCTCGACTAAGTCAAGCAGAATCAATGTCTATCATCAAACAGAGTCTAACAATATACAATTCAAGTGTGTTTCTCATCACTTGAAAGGTGTTATTAAAATTATCATCAATAGTAGCAAAAAGATGAGCTATTTCTGCTCACATTTTGACCATCTCTTAGGCGGGATGCACCACAATGCAAGAAAGAAACATTGCATTAAAGGTCTCAATAACCTTGCACAAAATTATTGGTACTCCAGGCCCAGTTCATATTTCACATTATGGTCTCCACTCAACCTCCCAAGACTTCCTGTTGGGGTTGATATATTATCTGAAGAAGTGAAAAATATTTCACATGGGGCTTAGAAGGTCAGATTCCCCTTGTATTCAGACCAGAAGTTTCCTCTTCGTAGTCAGAGATGGTGAGTGCTTCCTTTTAAACATACATATTGATCACAATTAGTACTTTCAAAATGCAATGATTTGTCATAATGAGGCATCTCCCACTGGCAGGGTAACCTACAAAATATATTTTCTTAGTGGAAACATAGGTATTTGCATGTCTTTGTCATTAACAGTGCATTGTTATTTCTGATTAATGGTGTAGAGACAACCCTTTCATGTTTTATTCTACTTTAAAGGCATGAATGAAGTGTTCTGACTACCCATGCATTACTGAGGTGCTTTTCCTTAAACTCCAATCTCACAGGCAGGTAAAACAGTCAGCATGAATTGCACTCCTTTAGTATCATGAGCAATCCATACCTCGAGAACAAGAGTTTTGTTCTGTTTTAAAGGGTACTTATTTTAATTTGTACAATTGCTCTCCTCCAGCACAGGCAAACTGTTTTACTCATATGCCTTTCATGGAGAGAGTATCTTCTCATCATGCCATCAAACTGAGAAAGGTCATCTCTAAATATCTGGTTGTGATCTAATTAAGAAGTACAAAAACTGGTTGAGTTCACCTGCCATGCTAAACCATAATCTGGTTTCTTTAGTTTCAAATTTTCACACCACAGGAATATATGGTTGGTAAATTAGAGTTTATGGCTTGTTGTGGTCCTTGAACTCATAAAGCTGTATTGATTAAAACATTTAATAATTTCATGCCCTTGACAGAACATGTACCCTCCCCCAACAAACATACGCCATTAAATATTTGATTTATCCAGTTTTGTATCATTAAAAATATTTAATATTGCATGATAAACCTTAAGAAAGGAACTGTTCTACTCATTATTGGCATTTTGAAAGAACATGACTTTCCGTTAACAGTACCAGAGAACTTTTTTTTTTTAAAGCTAAAGAGAAAAAAACCTGTATAAAGCATACAATTTCTGGTCTGAATGATGTTCAAAAGTTAAAGGAAACGGAGAGAACCTTTTAAAAAAAGAATATTATAACACTCAGAAAGCATATGTTGCCAGTATGTGATACACTATACAACTGGTTGACAACTGGATAATTAAGAAAATTATGGCGTAAGGATCTACTTGTCTTTTTATAAACCTGCTCTGTTCTGGGGGGAGAGGCCTTTCTGTCCACAGATGCACATCTGCTGAGTGTCCTTGAAAGGGTATTTTTTAAATATTTCTCCCAAACAGTGGAATGTTTCTTCCTTCAAAGCTACATTGACTTTTGTAATATTTGTAATAAATGATACATACAAATACAATTAAAGACAATGGATAAGAATATATGTAAAACAAAAACTGAATCCACACATACCTATATGTGTTTGCGCCATTACATCAGCTAGCCTATGCGCAGCCCCACTGCCACCGCTTTGTGTTGAAGATGAAGAGGTGGTAGATGTGGTTGAGCCATGGATTGCTTGGCTGATCCAGTGTTCCATGTTTATACTCCCTTGGCTTGAGGTTGGAGTTCCCTGTGAATCGCCCTGCACGGAACCTTCATCTTCGGAACCAGAGGAGGTATCTAGTATGCCAAACAAAAACCAAAGCAAACCAAACCCTGGGCTAAGATTTCATGTCGCAGTGTTTGGCACTGACCCAGAGCCAAAGATTTCAGTTCAAGTTGTAATTGTGCCCAAGAAATTTGCAAAACAAATCAGGAACCATTTTCAGTTGAACTGACTGTAGCTAGAGGTTTAAGGTTTAAGCTAGAGGTTTAAGTAGTTGGCTTATCTTTAAATACACTGATATATCTATGCTAGGAAACAATTGTTTTCTCTGACCTAGTATCCTCCAGATTTGATTTAGAAGGCCTATCAAAATAAGTAATGTTTTCTGTATTATTCACAATTTAGTCAGAATCATTTCTTCATTCTAAAAGCATTTCCATTTCCAAAGTAGCTGATAGCATACAGCTATTCTCTAATATCAGTAATAGGGTGCTATTACTAAATACCAGGTGCTATGAAGCTACAGCAGAAGAGCATCTGGTTTGGCCATAGTGGGAACTCAAAATCTTGAATTAGATGGACTTTGTTTAATCTGGAAGAATTAAGTGAATAATACACAGTAAGAGAAACGGCACTCTATAAATCTCTTCATATTCCTTATGGTCATTTCAGGGAACATCTCAAAATACTTGCAGAGAGAGAAGAATATGTACCTAAGTCAAATGTAACAGGTCTATGTTTCAAATTTAGGGTTTCAAGGAACTCACCAGATCACAATGCAAAAATGAGGAGGTGGAATGTCAATTTTTGTTTTAATGAAATAAAAAACAAAATAAGCCTCCAATAACTTATAGACCTACATTACTTTTTAAAGGATTCTAACCTATCCAAGTACCTTGGAAGTTGGTTAAAAACATGCAGACTCCCTAGTGCAAAATGGTTGCCTGCCTCTGGCTTGGTGAAATGCAGAAATCCATCCATCTTAGCTTAAGGCTATTGGCAAACAAGGTCTGTGTGATTTGTTCAGCAAACCATGGTTTTAAAATACCATATTAACATTATATGCAACTATATACCTATATCTGATCCCAAATTATGAACTACAGTAGGGAAGATACTCCCAAGCTGCTGCATTATAACCAAAGAAGTGTCTTCCTTTTAAATCCTTATTCAAGTTTCTTGAATAATTGGAGAAAAATCAGTGTTCTTCCTGCAGCTTGTAGGAAGAGAAGTCCATATCTAATTGTGCATGAAGCCAGGATGCTATTTTTTTTCCTAAGATCCTTATTTAAAAGTCTGTCCTACTATAATGAGTTGAGATTTGCTGTTCAATAAAAGTCTTTAATATCACAATATTAGCTGTACCAAATGTGACAAAGCAGATGGATCAGACAGGGTTACTGTAACCAATAGGAGGTGGTGTTCCAACCTTATGTACTCCTCCACACCCATGGACTGTTATGAATGCTCAAATCAGCTTTTGAAATCCAATTGTAATACCTCTACAGTAGTATTGGATCCTTACCTGGAGGGGTGTAGGCATCCATTGATGTTTGCACCACCAGTGAACGTCGCTTAGATGGCATAGGTACTGCCATTTTCCGTTCTTTATGTTTTGCAAGAGCTGCCTGGACTGCTTCTGTGTGAACATCTAGAATCAAAAACCTAAATATAAGTTTGGAATTCCAACAGGTCATAAACACAGATAGCTTCTAGAAGAGAATTGACCTTGTAAATTCCTTAGAGACATGCTCGAGGAGTCAATTCTGCAGAAGTTCTCCTAGTGAAAAAGCAGTAAGCTATGCACATGTTTCAACTCTATGTGATTCTAGAAGAACAAAAGCTGCAACCCAAAATACAATTTCTTGGAAATACATTCTAATGGTAACAATAGGCAAAAATGGTTATTTTAGGTCAACAGCTTCCACAGGATCTGCATTTGGATCAGTCCCGCTAATTAAAACCTTTTATTTTTTATGTATTTTTGGTGGCTCCTTCTTAATCTGATTTGCTGTTTGAGGTTTTCTCTAGATTGTCTAAAAAAATATTAATTAAATTAATTAATTAAAAGAATTAAAAGCAGTCTATATTAGTATATGAATGAACAAATGATGGAAAAAGTGAACACAAAATGGCAGAACAGAGATAATTTCAATACTGTATGTTCATCTAAAGAACATTATTATATAGCTGTCTCTTTTGATGTCTTCCAGATGTATAGTCCAGATGGGTTATAAAACTCCCATGATCCCCACCCAACTATGCAGCATTGTTTAAATAAGACTACTGTTTTCACAAACTTGAGACTGTATTTAGTTTAGACTTAACTTTAGACCAAAACAGAAATTGTGAGCTGCCTACATTAGGTTGGTTTGCTCTTCTTTATTCATAATTCCTTTCTTCCATTATCAGGCTGAAGTTAAAGATATGTGGTTTTTCCCATACTGAATGTCTGTCACGTACGGAAGGCATGAAGTTTGTCAGCACTGTCATTCCAGTTTGTATTATATACTTTAGTCTTACTTCCAATACAAATAGAAAGGACTAAGAACATAAAGCATGTCGTTCCACATTTAAGGCTTTTCAGCAAAAGCACCAATATGAACAGTAGGATATCAGAAAAGTCCCATCTGTGCTATAGAGCTTGGCCTGGAATGCATTCATATATGAAATTAATGGATATTCTGAGAAAGATACGTGCCTGTGTGTACATGTGTATGTGCGTGGGAGGGAGGGAGGGAGGGA